GTACTGCCACTGATAATAGGGAATGAGGATAGGTGGGTACTGGCATTGTTGTAGGAGATAAGGGGAGGTGGGTACTGGCATTGTTGTAGGAGATAAGGGGAGGTGGGTACTGTCATTGATAATAGGGAATGAGGATAGGTGGGTACTGGCATTGTTGTAGGAGATAAGGGGAGGTGGGTACTGGCATTGTTGTAGCAAATAAGGGGAGGTGGGTACTGTCATTGATATAGGGAATGAGGATAGGTTGGTACTGTCATTGTTGTAGGAGATAAGGGGAGGTGGGTACTGGCATTGTTGTAGGGGATAAGGGGAAGCAGGTAATCACATTGTCACTGGGGGAAAGAGGAGTTGTGTACTCACACTATGTAGGGTAAGGGTAGGACGGACATTGTCGCAGGGGTTAGCGAAGATGGGTACTCACATTATCATTAGGGTAGAGCACACGGGTGATGTTTTCGGCATGGTTCCTGTCCAGCACAGCCTGCACATACTCACCATCGTTGACTGCAAGAAACTCAACAGTCAGTAACAGCGGAGTTCATGTTATATACATCCGTCATGTATATAACATAAAATTACAGGGTAAACACTAAACACCACACTAAGCGCTAGAAAATAAAAGACCTCCCTCAATTCATGCTACAATTAAATGTATTCCTTAAATTGAATACCTCATCATATTTTTATTATTATATTTGTGAAGAAGTATTAACACCAAAATATATCCTCAAGATCTTAACCAAATGAAAAGCATTTAGAGTTGTATTTAGAGTAAAAAATTTATAGAATCATTTGTTTACATCAAATTCAACAGCAAAAACGAAAAATGCAATAGTTTAACCATAACAAGTGACAAAATAGAAATAAGTGAAAGAATATCATTAGGCCAGTGTATATACATTAAAATGGAATGAATAATAAATAATAAATTATAAACACAGAAAAATGTACATCACCCAAAAAAAGAAAAAAACCAAAGACAAATAATGGTAATCAACTCTTCTTGCAATGCATATATACTCTTGTTACGTTAAACCATCTCGTCATCATAATCAATCAATCAGAGTGTCGAGAGCGATCTCATCACCAGTCTCTATGTGCCGCGAACAACGACGCCTTCGCCACCGCTGGAAACACAATGATTCCTTTCCACCAGCCTGCTTACGTGTACACACTCTACCAACCTCTAATCATGCTTAATTACATCAAAGCTACACAGGAGGAGGCTGAGATTAAGGAACCAAGCTCAGCTGTGAATTCACCTGGTGGATACATTCAATATTTGAACAAGTATGCACCCATGATTCGATAGATGGCTTCGAGGGTGCGGAACATAGCGTGAAGCGTCACCTAGGGTGTGCAGGACTATAGTCTAGGTGAGAGGAATGCAAAGCAAACAAGCGATGGCTGAGGCACGTGTTTCGACTAGCGACGAGATTGCCATAGCAAGACTTACAGAAGCTCAACTTGAAGCTGTGCGGTGACTTTGCAGCCCATAACCTTAATGTGTTAACTGTGTTGTTGGCATAACCAGGGATGGGGCTGTCGTATGGCATCGCATTTACCACCTATAATACAATTGACACAACAACCTACAATAGAATTAACATGCTGAAGCAGGGTCTTCTACAGGCAGGCACACTACACACCCACACTACTTACAAAACTTGAGATCGAACTGCAGTTGTGACTTTGCTGACCAAAGTCTCATTGTGTTGCACGTATTGTTCCTGTATCCCGGAATAGGAACATCATATGGCATAGCTAAGCATTTCTAGAAAGCAAGATATTAGGCAGATATTCAACAACAGAATAAGAAACAACAAAGAGTCAGACGGTCTCACAGATAGGTAACAGTTAGGTGAAATATTAAAAATGAACTCTTATGGAACCACAAAATAGATAGCGAATAGATTACGAAATGAACAGTGGATGACTACACAAGAAAGATAAATAGTTAAAATATAATTATAAATCAGTTAGAATTGAGAAAATGAAGTTTTGGGAATATAGTAGTTGCAGAGTTTTGTTTAAACTGACTAGACATAGAGGTACTATTTGGCAAGCAGTTAAGCTAAGGATTTGGTGAGTGTTTTTTTACTGTTTTTTATTAGTTTTCAAAGAGGGGATAACAACACCAGGGTAACATGAAGTTAAAATAGTAACAGACACTACCATTCCCATAGCTAAAAACAATCACTAGCAGAGAATAAGAGTGAGTTAACACATGTATGATTATGTTACATAGCCCATGTCAGTCTACATAGCATAATTTTTAATAAAACCATTGTTTACCAACAATATACACCAAAAGGTAAAAACTTCTTGTGTTTACCCTGTTTATACTAATCATAACTAGTGCTTAGTGCCTAGTACCAGAAATACCATTGACATACACTTGACAGTCAGCCTAGTTGGCAGGCAATGTGCAACGGTAAGTACTGTAGTTGGCATTTTTATTAGGCTTTACACCACTTATAACTCAAAGAATTACATGAGAGTACAAAAGTGTATTAAATTTGCTAATACTTGGATGTAATACTGATATGGATGTATATATTACCAAACCAAATATGGGGAATTTTTCAATGGGATGCTATGCGTATTCAATGTAAGATCGTTTCATTATGCTATTTAATGTTGGAACGTAACTGTTAAACATACATTTCAGACAAAGCTATGGTTCGGACAATACGTATACATGGGTATTTAGTAATTACAGAAGCACTTTCACATGTAGAATAACAAACAGATATATAAAGTAGTTATATACGTACACAATCGTGATTTGTACATCAGAAGCAATAATACAACAGAAATGCTCATATAACGACCAGGAAAGTGCAAGCATGAAATAATATTCAGTCCATTCAGATATAAATCAACTGCTAAAAATAATTTCGATCACAGCAACATAACTCAGACAGGCTTTATAGGGGGTAAAGCTCCCAAGGTTTGAATCTTTGCAGCTCAATGTTTTGTTGATCATCCAGGCAACTGACATAGACATACAAGCACATGAAACCCTAGCACCCACTCCCAAAACCAACACAAGTTCAATCAATTCCATTTATCCACTGAAACAACAACACATTACAACTTGGAACATGGCATTCATATGGCAATACTTTGCATAACCTGACACCTGCGGGCACAGGTATTCAGCGGGAATATTTCTAACAGGATAAACAGTGTCGTACCTGCGTGTCTACCCACTTGGCACCCTGCTCAGTCTGGATCACACGGCCATAGAAGTTAACGGGCAGCATGTACTCGGGCCGAGCTTTCTCCCACGCATTGCCAAAACGAAGCCAATCATCTGGTTCCTCTATCTGAAACCGAAACCAGCAGTGAACTGGTATTATTTTTGCTGGAAATGCCACCATTCTGTAAACACCTCCAACCACTGTGTGAACTTTAACATTAAATATACAATAATATCTATATATTCCCAATGTGGGTCAATTGCAATCACCTCTGCTAAGCTGATATTTAATAAGGAATATGTTTGATGTGTTCTGATTGCAGAAATTGAAAGTAATTATTTCATACAGTCTTCCTGACTGTTCATGTATTTTTCCGACCACTACAATACTTACTAGCATTGTTTGCATAACAGTAAGTGTCCAAAGTAAGGCTAACATGTCTCAGAACACTCGCACATCATTATTCACTCAAACACTTGTACGTCGTTATTTTCACAATAATATACAACGATTAAAATCTGTTCGTTTACAGCGTTTTGATGCAGTTACATGATGATGCCACTTGTTTCTCACGAGACCCCATCCCTGTAACTTCAACATGTTAAAAATTGAATTAAGCAATAGAGATATTGTACCAGTCTCGAACCACCACGTCAATCAATGAGATGCACTTTTGTCTGGTGGTTGCTGATTTCAGTGGCTGCAATACTTTGCCATTTTATATACCATAACAGCATAAACCTAGATGCCTAGAATTATCTATAATTTTTATACTGAAGTAATCACTATAACATGTTCGCTATTAAGCAAGACTATATTGCACTATATTTTTCTCGATTGTGCAGTTATTTATGAAATAATTGCTTTAAATGATGAGAAACTAGTCATGTGATTGGTCAAATGACATTTACAGGCAGGTAATCTACCAGTCACAAATCACAACGGATTGTTTGTATGAAACTGCTAATACTATAAGTATAACCTATCTCCGTACGTACACACGCTGACACATTTAACTAATGTATAGGCGAAACAAGCCAACAGATCTCATAAAAGAGCAAACTGTGATTAAAATATTGTGTAAAATAATGAGACAACTCGTCCAATATGTTCGAGGACATTCCTGTTCACCCAAGGGCTAAGCTTGAACCAGTGCAGCAGCGTGAATTGCAGATCCCTTTAACATTGCTCAGTCTCATAGGCAGACATACGACCTTTATCCATATCAAGTTTAAGCTAGCTTCTTAATCTTAGCAGCGTATGTGAAGATTAACGCTGTAGTATACTATAAAAACTTTTTCACCTACAATACCCCTTAGGACATTACCTAACTCCCTATCTTAATTTGAAACGAGATTTTACTATGAGATTACAGTCTCACTGTGATAACCCGAGGCGCATTGCTTGCTCTCAAATGCCACAGCTATGCCGCTAGAGTGTGTGCAAAGGCCTTCAGCCCACGCTGCACTAACAGCAATAAGTAAGAACCACAGCGAGTATGCCAAGCTTTTTTGGGAAGCTCTTTGACTCACGTGTACTGCACAACGTTATCATTTACTCTACAACACAACTAGTTAACATTCCTACACTATACAACGCGGTGATTTGTCAATTCACTAGAGCCCGCATATATACGTGTATGGTTGGCCACCGTACTCAGAAATAAGTATTTTGACCGTAAAAAATTATCCCCTTTTTAGCCAATCATAAGCCTTGTTACACATAATTTAACCGCAGTTATATTATCACCTTTTAACCAACCGTGAGCTGTGCCACACATTATGTATCCGTAATACTAATAGTACTTACTCAGTATATAAATTATAATCAATACATTTATTGCAGTAAAATTATAATCCTTTTCACTCAATCAGAGGTCTTGTTACATATAATTTAACTGCAGATAAAATATTTTTATGACAGTTCAATTATCACATTTTACTTACAACTTATATAACCATAACCCGTGTTACATAGCATTACACCCACGAATTATAGCACATGTGAGATATCTCAGTTATTTTCAACTTCTCTGTGATGTCTTGTATACATCATTTGATGTTAAGAAACTCGCTGTATTTATAAATTGCTGTTAAAACGATATATAGTGACATGTATACAGCTTTTGGTTTGGTAAAAAGTGATGATTTAACTGTGGTAAAAATACTTTATCCGCAATTAAATTATGCGTAACAAGGCCTCTCCTACAAGGATTTTGTAAAGCAGCCTATAATTTTTCGCAGTTAAATTTGGTCTATGGTGGTTATTTCTGAGTATGATGACTAACCATGACACGTGGTTATGTATCCTGACAACCTTACCTGCCTTTTCTAGCATTAATTATGTATGATATTTTGCTTTTTACATGCTACAGTACTATGCCACCACAGGTCTGCATCCTCATCACAACCTATATATGTAACACTGACACATTCCTCACACGTTAGGTGGCGAGTGCCACACAGCACATCATAGACCTACATGAAACTTCATAACGTGTCTCCTCTCCACACCACTGTTATTTACTCCACTCCATGCCATACACGCTTGTCACCGCACCTCTCATCACACCTCTATCCACCACCTCTCACCACACTTCTACCTACCATGCACGTCTCACCACACCTCACCACACCTCTATCCACCACACCTCACCACACCTCTATTCACCACACCTCACCACATCTCTATCCACCACACCTCACCACATCTCTATCCACCACACCTCATCACACCTCTATCCACCACACCTCACCACATCTCTATCCACCACACCTCACCACACCTCACCACACCTCTATCCACCACACCTCACCACACCTCTATCCACCACACCTCACCACACCTCACCACACCTCTATCCACCACCTCTCACCACACCTCATCACACCTCTATCCACCACCTCTCACTACACCTCTATCCACCACACCTCACCACACCTCACCACATCTCTATCCACCACCTCTCACCACACCTCTATCCACCACACCTCACCACACCTCTATCCACCACACCTCACCACACCTCTATCCACCACACCTCACCACACCTCTATCCACCACACCTCACCACACCTCTATCCA